CTGTATGGGGCTGACGGCGTAATCACAAGTATCTCACATCGGAGATTCTTAACCAACGTAACCTTTTTCCCCATCTCGTTTCTTCCGCCGCCTGTCGTTCCCCATCCACTTTTGGCTGCTTCCATTTCCGCTCCCACGCGCACTCGTTCGCACGCACGCTACGGAGTACCAAAGTCGCCAAAGTACACGCCCAGTCAGTTACCCACACCCACACCCACACTCAATCACTTGCCCTCTCGTGCTCGTCCCTCAGGTCCTCAGGTCGTCTATTCTCCACAATTGGTCGCCTTCTCCCGTCAGGGCCCCTCCACTTGCTCACCTCACCAACTACTACTCCCCACGGACCAAGAGAGTGAAGCGGCCGGTCATCCCTCGGAACTTCGTCACTTTTTTCGACCACAACGTCCAGTCCATCCACCAGGGCACTCTGGAGTCTGCACAGCGACCGGCGGCTTGTTTTTTTCCTTTCCCAGCTCTTTCCTCATCATCACCAGTCAACCCTGCTCCTGCTGTTGATTTTCCTCCGACTTTCTTCCTTCTTCCACCACTCCTGGTAGAAACCTCCTACTGTCAAACCGAAGAAACTCGCGTCGCGTCATAGCCTCTTCGATGTAGCAAAGAGGCTTTCCCAGCGGATACAGCACAGCACAGTCCACAGTACACACATACGCCTACCTACCATACCCGTCCATCCTGTCATCAAACGAATCCTCGACGACCCCCGTCCACCTTGCACGCTGTACCCGTACCAGCCACACTTTGCGCACGACTCGGGAAATCCAGGCCGGAGACCCTGCGGTCCCTCTTCAAGGTTAGCTAGCGGTACCCGTACCGCAGCAGCGACAAGCCGCCCGTGGCAGAGCCAGAGGCAAAGACCGGAAAGCTGTTTTTACCCACTCACGCCGTCAATCTGCAGCCCACTCCCAGACACCACTGGCACCGGCTACCAGATCCAAGGGCCGCACACAGCGCACACTCTTTGCTCAGGGAACGCTGAAAGCCGACGACACTGGGCCTCTCTCTGTTTTCCCTCACTCACTCTCTCTTTTTCACGCTCCCTCCCTGCTCTTCCCAGGGCTGATATACCTTGGGACTAACCCCGAACTCCACTGTTTGGATTTGGGAACCCTCCACCCTCCATCATTGGATCCCCCCAAAAACCAAAGTACAGCCGGGCACGTACTCAGTATTGTACCCAGCAGCACTCCAGCACCCAGCATTCAGCGCTCAGCGCCCAGCACACCGGCACAGCGAGCGCCTGCGAAACCACCTTCCCTCCGCCTTCCCTCCATCATCGAACCTTCCTTCCTCGCCCTCACCCTCCGCCCTCGCCCTCGTTCTCTGTCTCTAAAGGTGATTCTCTCGACACCGGCAAGAAACGAGGAAAATCATGTCGACTCCCACAACGGCTACAGCGACATTGCCTCCTCACTCGCATTATCATCATCCCCATTATCCCTACTCACATCAGCCGTACCAAGCCTCTACTGCCACCGGCTCTTCGTATCGACAGCCAGCGAACCCAATCCTTTCTACTTCCTCATCCACGGCGACGACGAGACTGCCTCCCGCATACGCCAACTCGTCGAGCATCGCCTATTCTACCACTTCTACTGCGAGCCACGCCGGTCCAAATGGCCTAGGCCCTTCAGCCTCGTCAGCCAGTTCGAGGACCATTCACGACGTCTCGAGTCCCGACGCGAACTACTCGCTCACCACCTCCACCATGCCTGCCTCCAACTCACTTTCCCAGTCCTCTCAGTCCGCTCGTAAGCGAAGACGATCAAAGGAGCCCGACTGGAACAAATTTTACAAAAATGGCTTGCCCAAGGAAATCATCGTCATCGATGACACCCCGGAGCCAGAGCAGGGCAAAGCCGTCGGCAACGGCGTGAGGGTCGTCTCCAATGGTAACGGCAGCGTGAATGGCGTCGCCACAAATGGTACCACCAGTCGACCTGTTCCCAAGAAGCGGAAGAGAGACGACGAGCCTCAGCCGTACGACCCCGTCTACCACAACAAATACGCCGGTTCCCACACCACCACTCCTCATCACAACGGCACACCCAGCGGATCGACCATATCCACCGACCGCACTACAAATTCAGCCATCCACACCACCGCAGCTACGTCCCTCTCTTCAAATGGGCACGAATATTACGATGCTCAGCCTGGCCAGAAGCGTAAGAGAACCCGTCAACAGATTGCCCAAGAGGCCAAGAAGAGAGAGATCGAAGGTCTCGGCGACCCATTCCTTACATACAAGCCGCCTCCTTACCCTCCCAAGAAAGCGCCCGACGTTCACGTTCGATTGGTTCAGGATGTAAGTATTCTCGTCTCGTCGCGATACGCCTTTAAAGCAAATGCTAATGTCTTCCCAGCAGGGGTACAACAAGAATGCCAAAGTTGACGATGATGATGGACACTACATTGTTGTTCCTGATGCCGACCTTACGGACAAGTGTATGTCGAGCCCTCAATCTATTGACCACCAGGTGCTAACGTCCATCGCAGACCAGATGGTGAAGCTGCTCGGGCAAGGAACGTTTGGCAAAGTAGTACAGGCCCGAGACCGTAAGAGGAATAAGTCTGTCGCCATCAAGATCATTCGGTCCGTGCAAAAATACCGAGATGCCTCGCGAATAGAACTCCGAGTCCTCGCAACACTCAAGGCCAACGATGATGAAAACCGCAACCGCTGTATCCACCTCAGGGATTGTTTCGACTACCGCGGCCACATTTGCATCGTCATGGACCTGCTTGGCCAAAGCGTCTTCGATTTCCTCAAGAGCAACAGTTTTGTTCCCTTTCCCAACAGCCAGATTCAGAGCTTTGCTCGACAGCTCTTCACCAGCGTTGCCTGTGGGTTTGCAAATATGTCTCTAGCCAGGCCTCTCACTAACACATTGCAGTCCTGCACGATCTCAACCTCATCCACACTGATTTGAAGCCCGAGAACATTCTTTTGTGCGACAGCGCCTACCAGACCTTCACCTACAACCGAAAGATACCCTCTTCTTCTACCACCGTCAATCGACAAGCGAACCAGCGCAGAGTCCTACTCGACACGGAAATCCGCTTGATTGATTTCGGTAGTGCCACTTTCCAGGACGAATATCACAGCTCCGTCGTCAGCACCCGTCATTACCGAGCGCCAGAAATTATTCTGGGTCTTGGATGGTCCTTCCCATGCGACATTTGGAGCATCGGATGCATCCTAGTCGAGTTTTTTACCGGCGACGCTTTGTTCCAAACGCACGACAACCTGGAGCACCTAGCCATGATGGAGATGGTTGTCGGGCAGAGAATCGACTCCAGTCTCGTCCAAGCTGTGAACAAGATGGCCACCAGAAGTGGTGGGAATCCTGCCTCAAAGTGAGTGGTCCATGGCACAGTTGGGCAAGGAAAATGCGTACTGATACTGTGCAGATACTTCAAGCGCTTGAAACTTGACTATCCTACACCCGAGACAACACGGGCTTCCAAGAGATTCGTCAAAGCTATGAGAAGATTGGAGGTATGCAAATTAGGCTCTCAGGACGCTAGAGGATGGCTCGCTAATAACTTGTAGGACATCATCCCTTCAAACTCAACCTACTTCAAGAACTTCCTTGATCTCCTTCGGAAGATTTTCGTCTACGACCCTCAACACCGCATCACTGCGAAGCAGGCATTGCAACATCCTTGGTTCAAGGAACCCGCGACACCGGACGATGGTACGGAAGCGGCCAAGATCCGCCTGGAGCGAATGAGACAGGAGCAGGATCACCGATATCACGCATGATCCCTAGCTATACGAAGCTGTTTTCGAAACCTTACGTCTATAACGAACAAAGCCGAGCATGATATGGGAGTTGGGCCGTTTGATATCTGGTCTGTACGATGGTGGCCGACGGAATTGGAAGGGCATGGCGCTCGTGCAGCTTGATTTTTTCCAACATGGGCCTCATCAAAGGTTAGCCATGTTCTGCCCTTTAATAGCAGAAGGCTTGATGGCATGTGGGGGGGGTTTTGGGTCTTGTTTCGCGGGATAAGGGTCAAACTCGCAGTAACACGAGACAGTAGCACGAACGATCGTGCCGAGCCCTGGACAGCGTTGCTAGTAGAGACGTTTCGATGAGAGAGATGTCGTGCCTTGTCGCCAGGCCCAATAGAGCGATTCTCCTGACCGCCGCAAGCTTTCTCGGCTTGCTAACCACTTCTTCAGTCTTCTGGAGTGACCACTGATCGATGCATTTAACTTATTTAGAGACCCCACCTGATTCGAGTAGACTGTTTCAACCGCCACAGTGTCTAGGAACTTTACTATCTGCAACTGAATCGTCTTGTGAGTCGTTCTTATAATGGTTGCTTGCTGCTTTGATCGGGTATGTTGCTTACATTAGCCCCTCTTTTGATTTCAGGTTCGATTGAATGATGCATCTTATCCCACCGCTACTCACGAGTTACGACTGGATGACTGCTGCCGCCTCTCGAGCCAACGCCAGGGACTTCTCCGCACGTGACCAACTGCAGGTGCGGCGACAATTCCTTGCCCTCTGCTGTCCCTGGTATTATTGGTCGGGATCGATGCAGATGATGCGACCGCAGCCGCGGCCTGGAATTGACGAGCGATGTCGACAAATCCACGTAACAAGAAGCCTACGCGCCTATTCTACGGGGGGTCAGAACTGAGGGAGATCACATCAAAGCAGGACAACGTCTTTCGCTTTGTTTTTCCCAGTCCAATACTGAAAGATACCTCTTTGCATTGTGTGGCTTAAAAGCCAAAGGATGAGCCTGTTATGCCTGTTCAGGCAAGTCGTGGTTCAAAGACAATGTAAACTTCGAGATTCTTCGTTGTCGATATGGCCATTCCGTCGTCAGCGGGTATAGAAAGACGGCCTGCTGCTGCTCTTGGGTCACGTTCGGCGAACGAGTAAACAGCCTCAAACTTAGCGATATCTATGCCGAAATCTTTCGAACGATCTGCTCACAAATTTCAATATCTACGTTCCACTATGTCCAGCCCGTACCAAAGTATACACGATTTATCGAATGGTTCTGTCAGGGAGTTGGTTCGATACCTTTATCTCCCGGCCGAGCACAGCATTGCGAAACCCCCAAAGAGTTGGCTCAGGGAGCAAGAGGAGAAACTGAAACAACTACCCACGGAATGTCTCCGTCCACCCAGCAACATCAACCCATTCAACTTTTTTACTCGCCTTGCGATGAAGCACAGCGAGAAGCGTAGCCATTCGTTCATACCGCAGGCCGCAGTCCTATGCAAGAGCCATTATGGTCTGAATCCTTGGACAATTCACGCCCTTTTTGCACTGGTTCTCAAAGAGATCACGGTGGAAACGGCTAGCTTACGACATGATCGACAACGCGGTAGAGGTCCGGAGTTTACACCGTTGATCAAGGAATTCGTTCGTCGTCTGGACGGCATTCAGGCCTTGTGGATGGACACGTACAACTTCGAACTCCTGTATGGCCGCCAGCCAAAAGTACTGAGCCATGTCAACTCACATTGCGAGGCGTGCATCTTGTCAGCACTCGGATCTCGTCCCTCTTTCCTCGGCGACCTTCGTGCTAATCTCATCGCCCGTACGGAGAGAATCTCACCATGCTTGCAGAGGGTCGTGGACGCGTGGATCAATGAGTTCCCCGAAATTGCACAGAGAAAGGTCTTCAAAGACAGCGCGAGCTTGGGTGAGGAAATTCGGGCCATGCTCAAAGAAGTCAGAGCAGCGCGTCGGCAGAGACGCGAAGCTAAGCACCTGAGAAAAGCCGGAGCTTCGGAGGACATCAGGAGGACATCCGGACGTGGTACTCCGCGCTCAATTCCGGGCGACCAGTCGACTATGAGCGGACGGCCTTCCACGGCAATGAGCCAGGACCCTTTTGCTGAGCCAGGTGATGAAGACCTCGACACTGAGAATCAGTCGTGGGAAGATGCGGTCGGGGATTACTACGAGCAGTCAGCCCGCCAGAACGGTAACGGGGGTAAACTCGATCGATCGTCCCTTCACCCGGCCTTTGGCGGCCCAGCCCCTGAACCCAGCGCCCAGTTCCGTCGAGACTTTGGTACAGGAAAGGAGGTGGATCGGAAAGAACAAGGGGCTCTCTGGGAGGATGCCGTTGCTAATAGTCCAGCTAGGAAAGAACAGCGTCTGCGCGCATCTGACTTTCCCCCATCAATGATCCAAGACGACGCCCGACGACAGGATCTGTTTCGACATGTAGACTCTGTAGAGTCCCAACCGGCCACGCCTCGGCCTGCCACGCCTCCCGCCGCTACCCTCGCACCACCGTCCCGCGCGTACGCCGCCGAAGCCCCGCGCAGCCCATCATACACGGACGCCAGCGTATACTCCAACAACGAGCCGGCCCGCCCTCACCCCAAACCCCCATCCTCGCTCGCGTCCATCGTCACGACATGGCCCGAGATTCAGACTCGCTCGTCTTCCGCCCGTGGACCCCGTCCCGGCGGGGTCGTAAGTACTTCCTCCCCCTCCACCCAGAATAACAACCTCGTGACACAGGACCGCCGCGCCACAGCTACAAAGTTTACTCCTCCTTGGGTGGGGTTCCAAATGTCGCCGACGGAAGCGGAGTGGTATCTTGCCGAGCAGGAGAGGGTAGCGCAGCTAGAAGAGATGGAGCGCATCGGCCGGCCGAGTTTTAGGGACCGCGGTGATTCTAGGTTGGTTGCTCCTGAGGATGGAGGAGAGTATGAGGAGGATGGGTCGAGAACGCCGACGGCAGGGTCTGCGCAGACTGGGACTTGGGTTGAGGAGTCTGGTGGTTGGACTGTAAGGGAGGTGTCGCCTTTGAGTAGTGATGATGAGGGTGATGATGGGCGTAGTGTCGTGACGGTGGAGAGACGGGGGTCTAGGAGTGAGGCGTCGACGATTTATCCTGATGATTCGCATAGTGTGGCTAATGCTCGGCGGTGGTGAAGAGTCTGCAATTCCTTGGGTGTTGCGGGATTGAAAGGATTTGCTTCTGGGTTTTGGGTAGATAGTACTGGTAAGTAAGGCGTTTTAAGGGCGTAGAAACGATGCAAAATCATTCTGCGTTTTGGTTTCCATCTTCGTGGTCGTCGATACTGTACATATTAATCGTCATCGCCTTACCATGAGCAGAAAGACAAGGCACGAAATCACGCGGATAGGCAAAGGGGCACATACACAGTAATTCGATGAACAAGATTGAGCTATCTACCGTTGCAGTATTGGGGTAGGGACACCCCAAAGAGAAGAAGAAAAAAGCAAAACAAGACCGGCCCTTGTACATTCTGGGGCATTCGTTTCCTTGCCTTCCCTCCTCCCTCTCTCTCTCCTCCAAATCCACCCCCTGGTCGAGAAGATCCCAATATCCATGGCCATACCCATGGCAACCATTGAGAGACGACAAGTGTGCTATATCCCCCGAGATCAGTAAGGTATGGCCCATGATGGCCAAGCCACGGTTGTATCGTCCCATTCTGCCGGCACGTCTTCTATGAGATCATATTGACTCTCGAAAACATGGCTGGTCGAAAAAGCCCCGTTAGAAGAAACCTGAGCCCTGTGCTGATCAGGACGCGGTGGGTTTGTTTACTCTGACATCCAATTAGGGAAGGGGTTTGATGACGAAGGTGCGAAACAAGACCGAAAGGAAAGAGCAAATGAGGAGCCAGTGAAGAGTTTTCGGACGAGAAATCATGTGTTCGTTGCTGTCAAATGCCGATATGGAGCTGCCAATGAAAGCTGCTAGGTCGGGTTGTTGTTGCAAAGCCACAAGGCGTCGGTGACTAATACTCTCTTCTTGACTTTAAAAAGGGGTCGTGTAGTAGAAGATTTGGGGAAGGTTCTTAGCAATTTGTTGAGCTTGGCTCTGTTTTGGGAATTGGATCTGTCCTTTGGCAAATATCAGCTCGGAATGTTCTCTTAAAACAAATTGCCGTGGAATACTCACCTCCAACAGTATCGTTATCGATCGAAATACCCGATATCGGGTCTTCATTCGACGGTAACCAATCTGGCAGAGATCTTCGATACTTGAGCGCATGAGGTCAGTATTCGATCTCACTCAGTAAAGCTTAGGCTCCAAAGACATCGTCGCTGTCACGGCTTTCGTCGTGCTGCTTGTCCTTGGAAGCATCAGGGGACTTGACTGGTCGAGCACCAGGCGGGTGGTACTTTCCGGGATAGTCGTAGGAGCACTCGGACTCGTCTCCCACATAGAATGTTCTGCGCGGGATCTTGTTCGCCCAGTGCTGCCAGACGACCTGGTCGTACCAATCGGCGCCGTGTGGCTGTTTCACCTTGAAGACCTGCTCAAGACAGCCGACCTTCTCGAACTGGAAAGACGACATGAAGTCGTCCATCCACTTGAGGCCCTGTCCGCCCTCGCTCTGAGCCATCGTGTGAACAATGACACCTAGAAAGCCCATTAGCTATTGAATCTGACACTCCTTTTACGTTCAATCACTTACGATGAATGTCCCGGAAGTCAGGCTTGTGGAAGGCGTCCTCTTGAGCATCCGGATCAGCCCACTGGCACTCGACATAGCCGTGGTACAAGATGGAAACTTGGCTGAGGAGCTGATGAAGAAGGGCACTTCCGATCCGACCACGTCGATGCTTAGGGTGGACAAAGACAGTTGCCTTGACACTTGGGGTCGCGTTTCCGGTGAGCCCTCCAATACCTGTCTCGTACGGCCGGAGGTAGGCGAATCCGTAGACGGTAGTCTCAGGAGCCAGAACATCCGCCGGCTGAGACTTCCGCCACTTCATATACTGTCGGTAAGCATCACGAGACGGCCAGTTGATGGGGTCGGTCAGGTCAGTCGTCTTGATAGTCGCCACGATGAAGGGCAGCTGCTGTCTTCTGCACTCGATCATGATGTACTCGAACCGCTCGACAGAGACTGGGTAGGTATCATTCACCAGGGGATCTTTACCGACAGCCAGGTTGTACATCTCGGCGCAGGCATCGGCATCGGCTCGCTGGGCAGGGCGAAGTACGCAGTCTGCCAGAAGACTGTTTTCGTCCATAGTAGGTGCCACAGTGGCTTTTATCTTCGCAGAAAGCGCAGCATCTCTCTTCTCGTCGCGTTCTCGAAGGATGGCCATTTCTTGATGGGTCCGCTCTTCCTGCTGCAAGCGTTGACGAATGGCGATGTTCTTTCGAACCATGATCTCGCGATGAACGAGCAGGTTACTGGTCCAATCACGGCGACGTTGAATCATCTCGGGCGTCATGTCTTTGTCGTCTTCGATATTAGCCACAGTGGTCGGCTGCTCAATACGGTCGATGAGTTTTCCAGTGTCGGTGCTGACATCGTGGTGGTGATGATCCTGCTTCTCGTTGAGGAAGGAAGTGACAAGCGGATCATCCAGAGTATGAAGCCAAGTCAGAAAGGATGGACTACCTGCGGCTTCCGTCTCGGAGCAAGTGAGTTTCTTGGGATTTTCTCTGTCCTGGCTCGACGAAGCTCTGTCGTCATTGCTGACATCCCAAGACGAGTGGCTCTTCTTCGACTTGGTAGTGACGCCCACTCTCTCCGGAAGATCCTCTACAACCTTGGGTGTCAGAGGCACCGACTTCTCCAACATGTCTGAAAGAGGAGCACACGGGCGAGCATAGTCTGTTGAACACTCTGTGTCCGACTCTGCGAAGTAGCTAGTCGTAGTAGCTGGCTCCTGGGCTTCGGTAACTGGACCTTGGATCTTGGAATCGATTTTTGCCTCAATCTTGGCCTTGATTTTGGCGACCCTCTTGTGAGGGGGGACGTAGTCGCTCGACATTGAAAGTCTAGAGGGCATCATGTCGTTTCCCACGTCGTCGTCGCCGTCGGATTGAATGTTCAGATGCAGAGCAGCAATTTTTGCCTCTCTCTCCTTCTGGGTTCTCTCGAAACTTCTTACAGCGTAGGCTCTGCGCTCGGCGAGGTAGTCGTAGTCAGCGTTCTCTTGGCCTTCATTAAAAATATCTTCACCAGGGGCTCTGCGGGTGTTGAATTCCAAAAAGATTCGGCGAGCCTCAGGGCTGGAAGTGGGGTCATCTAGGAAGGAAGGAGGCGGAAGTCTTCGCTGGGGGATTGGAAGATTCATGGCCCATCGAATAGAGGTTGATCTTTTGATCGGCCCGGTGGGCTTCATGGGAGGGCTGCTCGAGGGAGGAACCACCGCCTGGACCTTCTCATTGGTATTATTCTCAACCACAGCCGGGCTGAGAGAGGTGAATGTGAGCCGAGCTGAGCCAGCCTCCTGCGGGTACAAGCCGATGGACGACCAAGGATAAGGGCTGTCCGGTCTGGAAATGCCTTCGCCACGATGCTCTTCATCTTGGCTGAACTGGTTCTCATTGTCGTCAGATTGCTTCTCAATGGTAGCAGGCTCTTTCGACAACTTGAGGTAGAGGTATTCGCCACGGCTTCCTTCCTGGATGGACTGCTTCTCATTGTTGCCAACTTGGTTCTTCAAGATGACAGAGACTATGGGGGTTGGCGTGCTGGGATCGACGCGGTCGCATTTGACATGTTCGCCAATTTTCTCCTCATTGGTGAGACATTCTTTGAGAACCGAAATGCTGAAATTGTGATCTTGGCCACGATCCTCTTCAGCATGGCTCAACTGGATCGCATGGTCACCAGATCGCTCCCCTGGGATGAAAGGCTTTGCGGTGGCCGACAGCTTGAGATCGAGGTATTTGCCACGATTCTTTCCACTGTGGCTAGACTGGACTTCGTCTCCGCCAGTCTTCTTGTCTGGGGTGATGATCCCCTTTGAATCTGACATCTTGCAATCGATGTGTGCTTTGACCAAACACAATGAGCTTGCAACTGGCTGAACAATGGGGATTAGCTGACTTAGCACACTCATGTTATTTTGTGAATCAATTTCACAGCGTATGAGTATACTTACCTAGTTACCGGTATTATAGCGTCAGTGTAGAGTCGTGAGTACCTTAAGGAGTACCTTAAGGAGTACCTAGATGAGGTCGTGTTGTATTTGAGGCAATCAGAGCGCGTCGGGTGTGAACCAAGCCGACCTGAAGTAAAGGTGAACTGGCCGGTCTCGGCTTGCAGGAACGAAGCAACAGCGAACAAAAAGAAAAGCTGACACCCCGAGATTGATGAAGGATTCCAAAATCACTTCTGTCGTGGGAGGATGAACAGTTCGAAGGAAGTGAGAAGCTTTCGGTGCAGCGGCTTGAGTGAGAAAGGGTAGAATTGGTGCAGAGAGACCTTGGGGGGAAGAATGGAAGTGGGCGGAGTGCGCAGTAGGAAATATTTTGAAGGTGAGGTTGTCTGGTAGATAAGAGGGAGGTACGGCAGCTCACCTGTTGAGAGGCAGGAACGGGCTTCACCCAGAAGCTCCCACCTGATCTTGGACATATAGATACTTTTGGCTGGCCCAGCATCAGCCAGGAGATCAAACTTTTTGTGTACTCAAGAACTATAAGTACCTTTTAGAGAATAACCGACCATTCTAGCATAAAGCAGTAGTGAAATGACTGATTCTACCTACTCAATACTAACCGACGTGTAACCCATCTATAAACTCGGGAATCAGGGAACGTTGTTGCCCATTGAGACTCAAGTCCCCCTCATTTAACTGAAGGTATTTTACATCATGGATTGTAAATATCTTGTGTGGCTACCGTTGTGGCGTAGTGAGTAGTATCCAGCACATGTGTCTGATGATGTTAGTCGCCCATTAACTCGGTGTGGTCGGTAAGCCCCACTGATGGTGGCCTCACCGAGACCAGACCGATGCTGCGGGGTCACGTGTGGTCAATCGATCCATTCAGGCAGCGTCGACGAACCTCTACCTACACCGGCTCTTCTACTTGACAGATGACAGGAACTCCGACGTTATGAGCATCCCCAAAACCGTGGGACGTCTGAACATAAGTCTGTTGTGGATGCATCCGAAGGAAATTATACCTGTCACTTCGCCATGTTGTC